TCTCACAAATATTTGTAAAATCAATAAAAGTGCTGAAAAGACCCCTATGTTAGAATTGTTAAATTCTAAAATTTTGGCATATGTGTGTATGTGTGAATGAATTTACAGATTTTTGTGGCGTAAGTGCCAGTGTAGACCGAGTAGAAGACAGGATCAGAAGCTTGTGTGAGGTCATAGAATGATTGCAAAAACAAAACAATACTATCAGATGATTGAAAGAATCAAAAACTGTCAGCAAATGGCTTTGAAGAATAAACTAAATGCATCTATCCTTTCATGTCTGAAATCTGATTAAAGTGAACTCAAATTCACTTGAGATTACTTGTGATTCACACTAGCTATCTTTTTTTTCTTCTAGCTTTTTAAAAAAAATTTTTTATTTTTTAGTTGTAGTTGGGCACAATATCTTTATTTTATTTATTTATTTTTATGTGGTGCTGAGAATTGAACCCAGGGCCTCGCACATGCTAGGTGAGTGCTCTACTGTTGAGCCACAACCCCAGCCCTTCTTCTAGCTTTTTATCTTAATAACAACTTTTAAAACTTAGTAAAGTTCTTTTTCTCCTCCATAAAGAGGAGAAATGTTTTCTTGCAAGATTGAAAGAGTCTTCCCTTTCTATTTTGGGATTTGCCTGAAGTCACAAGGTAGTCTTGGCAAATCACTCTGCTCTATCTCTCAGTTTACTGAGGCTGCCTGGGAATTTCAACTGTGAGCCAAACAGGAAGAGGACTCTTTTACCTAACTCCAAAAGGCCTAAGTCATATGGATGTGGTGAAGTTTCGTTGTAGATATAAATCACTGCAAATGGATTTCCCACAGGGTTGTGGTGGGGGAACAAAGATGTCACTCAACTTCCTCTGCAGGAAAGGGAAGACTATCACAACATAACTGAGCAAATTTTCCAATGTTTGCACAACATTTTCAACTGAAGATACCCCTTCTGTATCCCTACTATATACGGACAGCCCAAACCTCAAATGTAATTAAAGGAATATTATTCATTTGACTCTGGCGAAGTTATACTGTTTAAATGTTTTTTAAAAGTGTCTGTGTTCATAAACGTGTATAAACGCAATGGTCTTTTTTCAAAAACTGGTAAAAAGTCATGTCTACCCTGATACTCTCATTTGTGACCCCTATATGGTCTTGAATTCTGGTTGTATAGCTAGTATTCCCTCCCTAAACTGTTCTATGCTTTAGTGCTTATAATCCACACCCCCGCCATGATGTCTCCTGACAGAATTATTCGTTCTGTACTCACACAAATGGAAATAGAAGAGATGAAAAGCCCTGGGGGATGCAGTCATGCAGGTCTCAAAATGATCTGATGCTAAACATAACCTGAATCTCTCTTCCTTTCTTCACTTGGCTGAGTTCCTCTCCTGGCTCAGGGTTAGTGATCTTGCATGGCATAGGAGGCTTAGGACCCAGGGGGCGCCTTTCAGCTGAAAAACACCTCGCTGCAGCAAGCTAGCTGGGAAGCTCCCAGTTCTAAAGAGAGGCTGTTTACCAGAAGAGCATAACAAGGGCAGGTCTGACTGCAAGGCTGAAACTGGGAGGCAAAACCGCTGCCAAGGGACCCCAGTCGGACACTGGTAGTTCAATCACCTGCAGAATGGAGGAGGGGAGGATGCTGTCGGTCTGGATACAAACATTCCTTCTCAGCAACATACTCCTAGCAGCAGCCCATGGATCTGGAGGTGAGATTACAATATTTCCTTTCTGTAGTGACTTAATGAAGTGGAATGGGTAAACCCCCATTTCCCAAACATGGCCAAGATGACAGGAAAGGAAGCTTTTAGCTGATTTTTGCTGTCCTATGAAAGCCCCCCCCCCTTCCTTTTCTTGCCAGGCACTTGCAGCTCCATCTTTATCATTAAGAACAAAGACAAGTGGCCACTTTCTCTTTCCCTTTCCTTACCCAGGAGTGGATGGAGTCTGGAAGTTCATCCCCCTACTCCTTAAGTTATGTTCTTTATAAGCCCTTTGCATGATGTGTCCAGCACACTGGCCCATCTTTCCTAGCTTCTTCCTGTAGCTCTCCAGCTGAGGGGAGTGGGAGTTTGGGAGTCACATCCAGGGCAGAGATGAGGCAGGTTCCCACCGTTTGAGGCTCTCCTGAATCTTTTGCCTGACTGAATCAAGGTTTTTGCAGAATTCTCTTGGGAGGGAGTGTTGCCTGTTTGAACTG